CGCAGGTGGCGAATCAGGTGGCAAATAGGCACGTGGGCGACGCGTGGAAACACAGAGCCTTGCACCCGTTCGCCCTTCTCATCACTGCTCCGGCGCCCACGCCTCAACCGCTTCTTGGGCAGCAGCTGGTTCGACACTCAGGTCGTCCCCGTGGCCTAGGCAGGCGTCCTCGCCCTTGCCCCAGCTAAAGAAGGCGCCGTCGGCGGTGAGGGCGAGGCTGTGGTGATATCCAGCGGACACAGCGACGCACTGGCCGGCAAAAGCCTCGACCTTCTTGGGCAGCAGGTGGGGCTGCGCGTCGCCGTGGCCCAGCTTGCCATAGCCTCCATAGCCGGATGAAGATTCTGCCCCACACAGCCCCTTACCCCTTCACCCTCGCCTCGCTGCTTGGTGTTTCTGAACACGTAGACGACCACGCTGTGGGGGTTGTGTGCGGGTTGTGTCTGGGAGGGAGGGAGTGGGCGGCGCGTGCAGGTTGCTCACCCACGGCACCGGGCCGGTGCTTGCACTTTGAATGCCGTGGGGCTCCTGCCCGTGTCCGGGCGTGGAGATGCGAGGGTCGCCCCCCCTTGCCCCACCACTTTGTGTGTGTGGAGACGTTTACCTTACCTTACCTTTACCTTACCTGTGTTGGAGCCTGCACGTACTTTTCCGGCAAACAAAAAGGAAAACACAGGGTCCCCAGCACTTTCGACTTTGCGTTTCCGGAAATTTCCAGGGAAAACAGAGGGAGTTTGGTGCTCGGCATTCTGTTTGGTCTCTCGAGTTTCCCTGAGTCTGAGAGCTGGATGCTCGTGGTCTGGCTCTAGCCTCTGTCTGGGGCAAAATCTGAAGCAACGTTGAGGATGAATCGGCAAACTACCCGGGTATTTTCCAGTATTCCCAACAAAATACCCGAAAACAAACAATCCCTCTCTCTCTCTCTAATACCCGTAATCCCGTATGCTGCCGATTTTGAAGAAGAATCTCTCTCTCTCCGATTTTGCTGATTTTGGCCCCCAAACAGCCTCAGACTCGGCTCAGAGCCCCCCAAAATGACGATTTCCACGGAGTTTTCCCGGGGAAATAGAGAGGAAAAGCGTGGGTGCTCTAGAAAAAAACCGCTCCGCAACGTCGCACCGATGCTGCCCTCACCAGCGAATGCGTCCTGGCTCACAGCCTGACGGCGCAGCCTGATCGTATTTAGCGCGGCGAGATGGCTCCTGGAGCGTGTCCCAGGCCTGCTCGATCTTCTGAAAGATCTGCGTTGCCCGCTCGTGGCTGTTTCTGTGTTCGTCCGGATGCCAGCGCGTTTCTGCAGCTCTCTGTGCTGGGCCGCTATCTGCTCATGGGTCGCATTCGGCGGAACACCCAGCACTTCGTACGCCGTTGCTGCTGGGTTGAGGATCCGTGCAGCCTCTCGCTCCCGCTCCCGGTCCTGCGTAGCACGTGTGTGAAGCGCGTGTGTCGGGGGCGGGCAACGCACCGCCATGATGCATATGCGAATGTTCGGTCGAGTTCGGCGCGGCGATTTAGCATCACGCGAGACACCGGAGATACGCAAAACTAAATTCTTTTCCAAAACTTGAAGCCCGCCCCCTGCGTGCGTCCCGGTACACACACACAGACGGCGGTTGCACCCAACCGGGCCGCCGCCGCCGTGCAGAGCGGCGGCGCCGCCATTCCCGCCGCCGTGCTGCGCCGCGCCAGAGACGGAGGCGGAGATCCTCCACGGCCGATCAGCGGCAGCGCTTGTCGGGTGGCACAGCCCAGGTTCAGGCGAGGCGAGCGGGTCGTGTACGTGCGTGAGGGCAGCCTCGCTGCAGCCATCGTGCAGCAGGTCCATACCGACGACCCGGGCGAGATTTATTACACGATCCTGCTAAACGGCGCCGAGCGGCAGACGCCCGAAGGCAGGCTGCGACCAGAGACTGTAGAGCTGAGCTCTTCAGACGAGGACGAGGTAGTGGTGACGCGCTCCGTCAGCCGCGAGCAGCGGGACCGCGAGGCGCGCGCCAACGCCATCGACCTCGACGCGGCGGCGACGCAAGAGGCGGCCAGCCCGCGCTCCGCAGGCGGTGGCAGCCGTGGCGGTGGCAGTGGCGGTGGTGGCAGTGGCGGCGGTGGCAGTGGCGGCGGTGGCAGCCGTGGCGGTGGCAGTGGCGGCGGTGGCAGTGGCGGCAGCCGTGGCGGTGGTAGCGGCGGCGGCGGCGGCGGCGGCGGCGGCGGCGGCGGCGGGGGCGGCGCCGGCGGT